TGGGCGCCTCGTGGGCACATCTGGGTGATTGAGGTTGTCTCATGGGTTTAACGCAGTAAGGCTTAGGGAGGTCCTGGGCAGATACTTCGTCTCTTAGCCCATGGTAGAAAGGGAGCATCTCAAAGGTAGGGCCGGGGCATGGGAAATAACAGAGCTGATAACGGTGGGAACAAAAATATACAACATAAACAAAGTATATACAGAGCAAATAGCTAAGAAGCATTATGGGGAGGACGCCTCCGCCGAGCGCGTACCCTCTATTGTTCTGAGAGGGGGCTGCAGCGGCGAGTGGTGTCCCAAGAGAACTTCGGGGGGGGGGGAGGGAGGGGGTTCTTCAGCATTCGGTGAGGCCTAAACGCCTGTCACAGTCCAATCACCCGGTATGTCTGAGTAGCTGGAGTGGGGCAAACATTCCCCGGGGCCCACAGGGGGGGGGGTCAGCGAAGGTTGCAGGTAGCAAGGGTGTGGGCCTAGGCCAGTTCATGAGTCTCATCATAGCCTTCTAGGGCCTAGGAAGATGTGAGGCGGGGGTGGAAGAGTCCTTCGCCCCCCTGGAGGTGTAAGTCCAGATAAGTCTCTCCCTTGGGTAGCATTCCCGGTTTCCGGGAGGGGGGCGGCCAGCCCGGGGTATGGGGTGGCGGGAGGTGCTGGTGGTAAGGTGGCTGAGCGTGGTAGGGCCAGGGTACAGCTGTACTCACGTGCAGATGTAAAACCTTGGTGTTGCCACAGTTCATAGGACGGGTGTAGGCCTGAAGGGTGCCCCAGGGTTTGGAGAATAAGCCGGCAGCGGCCCATGTTAGGAGGAGCCGTGGTGGCGACATTGCTCAGGCCTTTGTCCAGCTTGTGGCCACTTTCCGCAGTGGGGCCGGGGTCGTGGGAGCGTTGTCAGTGGGAAATAATCCCCAGGATTTGAGGGTCTCCATTCCTTGGGTCGGGTCTTCAACTTTGGTCAGTGATCCATTGCGCCATATCAGGAGTTTAGTGGGGAAACCCCATCTGTAAGGCACTTTGTGGTTTCTGAGGCACTTTGTGACATTGATAAAGTCCCGTCTTCTGGACATCGTCGTCGGTGATAGGTCAGCATATAGTGATATCTCCTCAAATGTAGGTGGCATTTCTGATGCCTTTCTCTGCGCTGTGAGGATTGCTTCCTTCGCGCTGTAATAGTGTAATCTGGTCACTACGTCCCTAGGGACATCTCGAGCAAGATTGGTGGGTTTTGGTACCCGGTGTGCTCGGTCAAGGCGTAAGTCCGCTAGTGCCAGGGCTGGTTGGATAGCCTGAAAGAGGCGCAGTAGGTAGGACGGTAGATCCTCCTGTGTCACCTTCTCCGGTACTCCTCGCATGCGGATGTTGTTGCGGCGGGAGCGGTCTTCTAAGTCCGCCATTTTTTCCTTCAGGCGCCTGTTGTCTTTTTCCAGTTGCTGCAGCTTGCTCACTATTGCATCGTTGGCTTGGCACAGCTCATCAGTTTTTTCCTCCAGTACATTCACCCGTGTCCCCACTTCCAGGAGGTCTTTGCGCAGGTCTGAGACCACTGCTTGAAAGTCGGTTTTCATAGACGTGCGCAAGTCATGGAGCATAGCTGCTAATTTCACCTCTGAGATAGAGAGATCCCCTGTGGGGGTTTGCCGTGATTCATTATCAGAGCCTGTTTCAGACATGTGTGTTGGTGAGCGGGAGCCGCCTCCATCTTGGTCGGAACGGAGCCGTTCTTTTTTTCCTTGCCGGAAAAAATCGGATGATCGCTGGGCTTTTGGAGGGGCCATGCTGGGGTGGGGGGATGTTCCCCTTACCTCTGATGCCGTTTGCGGGGTGGTGTGGGCTGTTTGCCGCTGTTTATGCCGCGTTTTAGGCCGGTCCGGTCACGGAGCACTCACTGCATGCGACCGTTCGGTGCGACCGGAAGTCCCGCCCCCTCTTTAGTGATTTCTACACTCTTTTCTGTTTTTCTTCATCCTTTACATAATTCAACTGCAAATTTGCAGCTTTTGTTAAAGCAGAGGTTTTTCCTTCTCCATCTTTAGCCTTATATAAGAGAATTTGTGCGCTTTGAGGCATTGACATACATTCCCCGGCATCTGCAAGACTCTCATGAGCATGTGTTTGGTTATTGGTACCGACTCCTATCACCACATGGACTGAAGTTACAAAAAGGGACATTTTGTACATATTGCCTCTTGGTCTTGAAAGGCACAGCAGGGAGTCTAGCTTTTTAGCTAGGGATGATGCAATCCAGACCTCAGACAGAGTGGGGTGGGACTATTATAAGGTCCACTGCATAAAGGACCCCCTGGTTTGGGAAATTACAGTATCTGTTTTTGCAATAAAGCTGCATTCTACTCCCCTACATTCCATCTCAGATAATATGTGGGGAAAAAAATGGAACATATCGGCTATGAAGAAAGGTTAACAAATTTAAACCTATTTAGTTTAGAAAAACGTTGCCTGAGAGGGGATATGATAACATTATACAAATATATTCGGGGCCAATACAAACCATTGTGTGGAAATCTATTCACAAACTGGACTTTACATAGGACACGAGGCCATGCGTTTAGACTGGAAGAAAGAAGATTTCGTCAAAGGCAAAGGAAAGGTTTTTTTACTGTAAGAACAATCAGGATGTGGAATTCTCTGCCTGAAGAAGTGGTTTTATCAGAGTCCATACAGATGTTCAAACGGCTACTAGATGCATACTTGCAAGAACAGAATATTCAAGGATATAATCTTTCAATGTAGAGTAATAACTGCTTGATCCAAGGATAAATCTGACTGCCATTCTGGGGTCAAGAAGGAATTTTTTTTCCTAGCTTGTTGCAAAATTGTGCTTCAAACTGGTTTTTTTTGCCTTCTTTTGGATCAACAGCAAAAAACAAATGTGAGGAAGACTGAACTTGATGGACGCAAGTCTCTTTTCAGCTATGTAACTATGTAACTATGTAACTATGTAACCTTCTATAATCACTGCTTCACAGGAGAAAGGGCATCCAAAGCTATAACCACTGCAGAGAGCTAGAACTACAGCAGCCTGGTCCAGGGTGGCAGAGCTGCTAGAGACCCCAGTCAATCTGTGGTGACTGGGTTTGAAGCACTGCAGAGTCCCTGATTGCAACTAGAGAGCAAATTTGATGGAGGTACTCCTGAGTACAGGAGCTCTGTTACAGATATAAAAAAATAAATAAAAAAATCGATGTGAGCTAAATTTGAAGTCATTCGCTAGCCGTTCTGAGTATAATTTTGCTACCTTGATTTCTACTGGGATTCGCTGCTATTCGCCAGTGGCTCTCTTAGTATTTATACCTGCAGGTTAGTTTTAAATAAAATGTATAAGTTTTGTTGGGTTTTCTTTCAGTTAACGAATTTCTTATACTCCTCTGTTTATTTCCAGTTTGGCCTCTCTCTGCCTTTAGACACTCCATTGCTAGAAACTAAAGTTAAGCCAATTATTCAAATATATGGATGGGAACAAAATAGTGCAATCTGGACCCAAACAAGTTATGTATGGCCTTCTGTTTATATCTTCCAACTCAAGTAGATGCAGAGACAGATCACCTAGGAAACATCAGAAGAGCAACCGATGCATGGGTTGTAATCAAATTGTTCCAAAAGGCAAAAATCTCTGTATTAAATGCCTGCTGTTGCAGAGAAAAATTCTCAAAAACCCTCTCATTAGGAAGAATTTAAAAGCTTGGCTTACTCAAGCCATTGCAGAGGGATTTAAAGCTAGTGCAAAAAGCATGGGTTTTGGCAAACGTTCCACAATGGAAACCATATCTTCTGAATCAGACTATGAGAGAGACTTATTTGAATAAGATACTTATGTATATCCTAAAATGTTATGATTCTAAAATGTGGACAGTCTTATTCAGCTCATACGGAATACTTTAAAAACACTAGTCCATCCCTCTATTAGAAATATGAGGAAATGAAGGACACGTGAAAAGAAAGTCACTCAAATTTTTTTTTAAAAGTTAAGTTATGTTCCCAAGATAGATGTAGCAATCATTCGTATGGCAAAACACACCACCTTGCCCATAGACTCCTAAAGCGAAGCCATGGAGAAAATGATGGATGCTGATTCAATAGACATTTCTTCTTTTCATCTTTCACATATTTGGGGTTCTATGCTGCACCCTTTTACAGTTAACCACCTTATCCAGATCTTTAAAGGTATAGATTGATAAATTAGAAGATGACATTCTGAATGGAACAAGAAGGGAAAATCTAGTTGAAGCCCTAAAAAAACCTCAGGCTTGCAGCGAATATCTGCTGAGAAGCATCGCTGGACATATCAAAAATGACACTTTCAATTTACTTCACGTACTTCAAAGAATTTATAAAGGTCTGTAGGCCTAGATAGGGACAATTGAAGATTATGCTAGCGCAGTGCACTAATAATCTTCATTTTAATAATGACAGGAGGCGAGTATTTTGCATCAACTTTCTTTACTAACTCCATAGCAGCAAAGAAAAAACTGTTAAAGAAAGAACCAATCAGAATGAAACAGAGAATATACAAGTCCCAGCATAGCCAATCATTTCCTCTTGACTACTGCGACAACACAAGTTCATAGTGCGACAAACATGTCCGTTCCAACTTGCTCCAACTTGACATAACGTAATCCAACATGGAAATAACAATAAGGATCGCCGGCTTTTCCATAATCCCTGAAGCTTGTCAAACTGAAAGGAAAGAGAGACTAGTATCAGTGATACGGAATTGACCGTAGATAATAAATGTCTGGTTATGCATGTAACTCTCCATTAATTATATCGGGTATTTCTAATATTATTATTGGCTAAATGAATCCATATAGTAAAAGACAGTAATATTCCATCCTAACTCATTTCTGACCTAAAGCAAAGCAGGATAAGATCCTACTCGTTCCCCCTTAACGTACCTCCATTTGGGTGGGCACCTCGAGGAGAAGAAAAAAGGGGGGGGAAATACTCGCCTCCTGTCATTATTAAAATTAAGATTATTAGTACTCTGCGGTAGCATAATCTTCAATTTTATAACATGACAGGAGGCTTCCTATTTTGCAATTTTAACGCTTTGGTAGAAGAGTGAATGCGGCATTGGACGATGAGCGGAAGTAGAAGGTCCGAAAAGTCGATTCTCGGGACCAATCTGCAGTTTGGAGAATATCTGACAGATGCGCCTGCTAGAAATGCTGATGATGCCGCTGCCCCTCGAACGGAATGTGCACCAAAGGAAGAGTCTATTCCAGCTAAAGATAGAAGCCATTTGATCCATCTGGCCAATGTGGTGACCGAAACCGGACCGTGTGGGCTGACATATGACACCAATAGTTGTCGTGCAGTCAGTGGGCGTAAGTCCTTTGTTGCTGTCACGTATGCTCGTAGAGCCTTAACCACGCACAGTTGGGGATCCGAACTGAAGAATGGGTAGAACACTGATGTTGAATTGGATTTAGTGCGTTGTGAGATATGAAATGTGACTCACTCAGGATCAATGGAAAAGGCGTTCTTGTCGAACGTCCGGACGTCTGCCACTCTCCGGAAAGAAACCATGCACAACAGGAAGGTGAATTTTGCCGTCAGTTGTTTTAAAGAGAGAAGTTCGTTGGTAGGCCAGTTCCTCAGGAAACGAAGGACGATATCCACATCCCATAAGTGCTGGTATTTAGGTGTTGGAGGCCTCGTAATAGACGGCATATCAGTGGGTCCTGTCCGACCGCCCTTCCTTGGGACTGTACATGTGCTGCCGAGATAGCCGATCTCATGACGTTGATAGTGCGGTATGACTTGCCTTCCTCGAAGAGAGACGAGAGGAAATTCATGATGTCCGAAACAGGGGCTGTAAAGGGATCCAGATCCAGTCCCATGCACCAACTGGTCCAAGCTCGCCATGCGGATAGGTAGCTCCTTCGCGTTCCCGGAGCCCAGGAGTCCCATAGGAGATCCTTAGCTGTTGACGATAGTTTGTTGCTACACCAAGTTCCCCTGAAAGAGTCCAGGCTACCAAGGATAGGCGTCCGTCTCTGAGTAGCATGTCGTCGTTCGGCAGGAGAATCGGGTCCTGATAGGACAATTCGAGAAGGTCCGGGAACCAGGGTTGACTCGGCCAGAGGGGCGTCAGTAGGGTTAGTCGCACCATTCGTCTGCGCAAATGGTGGAGAACTCTCGCGATCATGGCGAATGGGGGAAAAGGCGTACGCTCCTTGTTGTGGCCAGTGTTGGGTGAAGGCGTCTACTGCCAAGCAATCCGGATCTGGAAGCCAGCTGTAGAACTGTGGTACCTGATGGTTGTTGCGTGAGGCAAACAGATCCAGTAAAAAGGGTCCTTTCTGTTCGTGTAGGTGAGCGAATATCCGCAGGTTCAACTGCCAGTCGCTGGCGTTCCTCCAGTGTCGGGAGTACAAGTCCGCCGTGAGGTTCGACTCCCCTGGTAGGTGTTCTGCGCGTATAGTGATGTTGCGTGGGAGGCAGTAATCAAAGATTTCCTTCGTCAGATGTACCAGCGTTCGTGACCGGGTACCCCCCAAATGGTTGATGTACCGCATTGCCGATATGTTGTCCATTCGTAACAGTATACAGCAGTTGGATTGTCCTTTTGTGAGGCTGCTTATAGCAAAAGATCCCGCTAGTAGTTCAAGGCAATTGATGTGCATCATCGATAGTTCTTGTGGTGTCCACGTTCCTCCTGTGAATGTTTCTCCATCCGTGGCGCCCCATCCCATGTGACTCACGTCCGATTCCTGAATGAAATTCGGTTGGTTGCCGAAGATGGCTCGACCGTTCCATGCTTGCATCCAATGGAGCCACCATTCGAGTTCTTGATATACTTCTTCCGACAGTGGAACCGGTTGATTGTATGTGGGGTTCCGTCGCAGGAGGCTGGCTTTCAGTCGTTGCATTGCGCGGTAGTGAAGGGGCCCCTGGAAATATGGCTTGTATCGATGAGGATAAGAGTCCCACAATCCGTGCCAGTTGACGGAGTGGGATGGAGTCTAATTTGAGAACCTTGCGGATCTCCCTCTTGATGGCCGTCACTTTGGCGGACGGGAGGTGAAGAGTGCAGACCTAGAATCGATCTCGAAACCCAGGAATTGGATCCTTTGGGCGGATTTCATTGCGGATTTGGCCCTGTTGATGAATGTAACGGATCACCTGCCACCCCGACTGGGTACCTCCGTTGAAGGATGCTCCTAGCGCTTCCTGAGGACTTCAAGCACTGCAGCAGACACCACAATCACCGAACCGGAGAAACAAATAAATTCTCCCAAGCACATGAATGCTGTAGACAGTTGAATAGGAATCATACGAATAGGTTTACTCTCCTAGCAGTCAAACTGGAACAGCATACAATAAATCCTTCCCCCAATAATGAGACGACACTTCACTTTGAGGGTTAAAACAGGAACTACCTGTACTGTCACATACAGTCTCTTTTATTCCCAATCCACAAACATAGTACAGCCCACAGGGCGTTACAAAACAACCAATCAATCCGTACAATACACCCAGACACTCCCACACAAAATCCTCCCCTCTGCAGGTGATATGATTACTGAACACAATGGGTAATCTCATTATCACCGGCAGAGGAATACAGTTTTTACACAATATTTATAACTTCTAAAATATACATGTCACAAACATAAACATACATTTTCATAATCAATCCATTCAGGGGAACAACATTTACAAAAATTGCACGAATCAGACCAGGGGTTCAAAAGTTAAGGGAAAGTCCTTTGTGACTAAATGAAGCATGGTTTTCCAGCCCAAACCAGTTTCAGAATCTTCTATCCTGGAGATTGAATTGAGAAGTAATTCAATTATCTCCCAGGACAGACACAAGACTCCATTATGCACATGGTGAGCACAAAGCATTAAAATATTATAAAATACACAAAGTCACATTTTATACATAAAACACAGACATGTCACATATCCCCAGATAGCTGGGATCTGAGCGCACAAAACTACCGAATAGCGCTCAGATCCTATTCATACAGTTCAATTGCCATGGAGCCGAAGTCTTTAACTACACGAATGGGCTCCATGGCATAGCTATCTGGGTTAACACATTCACATATCCCAAAGTACCGACACCAAGGGCACGAATAGGAACCAGGGGGCGGACGGCTCAGCTGTGTTGGCGCAAAGAAGTGTCCGTTTTCCCTGCCACAGTGTTAGTGCTGAGCACCGCTGGCCTTTCGGGACTTAAAATGGCCGCTGCCACGTGTTCGGCAAACGAACAAAGGCCACCCAGCGTTCATCAATTAAGCTGCTGTTAACCGCAGCTTCTGGGCGGTCAATTGGCGGCAGTCCCCCGTTCGGTAGTTGGAATCTACCGAACACCCCGGCAGAAAGGCACGAATAAGCCTTTCTGCAGGGGAAATAAACAGTTTAACCTGCAGGGCCATAGTCCAAAGGGAGCAGGCGAGCAACCAGGCTTCTCCAGTTCACAGTGGCGAGGTTGGTTTCGCCACAACGAAGCCCAAGGATTCTGATAGTCGTACTGTATATGTGGTATGTTGAACGGCCAGTTCCCTCATTCTGCAGAATAGGAGAATGTCGTCCAGATAAATTATGCATCTGATCCAGTGTGTCCTGAGGTGTGTGACCACCGGTTTCAACATTTTTGTGAAGCACCATGGTGTCGAGCTCAGTCCGAAAGGGAGGCACGTGAATTGCAATGGGGAGCCGTTCCAGAGGAACCGGAGAAAAGGGCGGCTGTCCACGTGGATTGGAATCGATAAGTATGCGTCTTTGAAGTCTAGATGTGTAAACCAATCTGTTTCGTGGAGGAGGTCCCTCAGTAAGTGTATGCCCTCCATTTTGAAGTGGCGGTAGGTCACATACGCGTTCAGGTCTCTTAAATTGATCACTGGCCGGAAATCCCGTCTTCTTGCAGACGAGGAACATGTTGCTGAAGAAACCTCACCGTGTGTGCGCAGATTGTATAGCGCCCTTCTTGTGTAGCTCGCGGAGCTCCACTTCTATGAGGTGAGCGTCCGCATCCGAGAGGCATAAAGGACGAGGGGGAGATCTCTGACTGGGGGTCGTTCGTAGTTCGATTCGGTATCCTCTGACCGTCTGCAGTACCCAAGCGTCCGCGGACGCTGGGCCCAGTTCTGGGAAAAAAGAGAAACACGGCCTGCAATCATGGTTATATGTGGCATCGAGTAACGGTGGTCTCTTACCTGTTGGCAAGTGTGCGCGGGTGCTTCCCCAACCGCCTCGTCCTCTGTCTGAGCCCCTTTGGTAGTAGGGGTAGGGCTGCTTAGCTCCGGTGCCCTGATAATTTTGTTGCAGATAGAATTGATGTTGGTAACCCATGCGAGGGCCTGAAGGCCAGAATCGGCTGGCGGCACGGCCCCGTTGCCGACCAGCCCTGGAAAAAACACCTTTCGTGGAGGTACCTCGGAAGACCTTGCGCATGGATGTGCGGGCCCTATTCAACGAGGTAAACACGTTGACATGTTTATTCAGCTCTTTCATAAAAGCTTCACCAAAGAGCTTGCCCTGTGCCTGTGGGCCCAATTCCTTTAACCCTAGATCAGCCAGTTTGGGGTCTATGCGGAACAGTGCTGCGCGGCGCTGCTCTGTTGAGAGGGCCGCATTCGTATTACCAAGGAAACAGAAGTCCCTCTCGGCCCACTCTCGCATATCATGTGCCCACTCTCGCACCATGTCCGCTGTAAAGGAGTCCGCTCTGGTGTAGGCTTCGTCCGCCAGGTACATAACTTGGGCCAATGGGCCCATCGTGTCCAGGAGCTCATCTTGCACCCCTTTAAAGCTCTTTTCAATTCCCCTCCGCAGGTCGCGGCCCCCTTGCTCCATGAACGTCAGCATAAGCTGATCAAATTCCTGTTTAAAGGCCACCTTATCTGGTAGAGTCGGTCTCGGGCACTCCGCCCGCATCCTCTTGCGTATATGCTTTTCCAGGGGTTTACGTATCCCAAAATGCATAAATCAGAGAAGGTGGTGGGTGGGGCCCAGAGCGGGGGTGGCGAATGTTCCTGGGGTCAAACATTCTCTGACCCATGGTATCTAGGAATATCTCTTGTTCCTGAGTGGTCGTGGCGGGGGGTTCCGCGTCTCCTTTAATCTGGGGCTCACCCAGAAATGTCTTCTTGACGTAGGCGTTGGAGCCCCAACCACCTTCGTCAGAATCTGAGGCTTCTGCCTGCCACTCATCCAGGATGGAGAGTGACTGGGGCATATCTTGCTCCTCATCCGAGGACACCTCCCCAGTGTACGTGGGAGGTACAGGCATAGCGCGCTTACTGCGCTTTAATGGGGTCTTCCCTTTGAAGGCAGCATTTTTGGACCCTTCGCCCTTCCAGTGGCGTTTTGCCGGGCGGCTTTTGCCTTTAGAGGAATCATCCGACTCGTCTGAGTCCTCATTGTTCTGGCGTTGCTTACTAGCCAACGTGGTAGATTCAGTGGTTGCAGGTGTTGCCTTTGATAACGCCTTTTCTAAAGACGCAGCCACCGCCGCGTTGATCATGGCCTGAAGCTCACTAGTGTTAAGTGTGTCTTCCATTGTGTGGGCACTAACAGGCACAGGTATAAGAATAGGAGTCAGAGGTGAGGGACCATATGGGAAGGACTCAGGCAGGCCGGTGGCCGTAACCAGCGCTCAGTGGCGTGACATTGGACTCCTTAATAACTGGGGCTCACCCAGGGTATCGGAAACTGCTTTAACAGTTTCCGCTATGCAGCACTCAAATGGGGGCTCACCCCTTGCCAGGCTACTGGGCTAAACCCTACTGGCAGTCCTACTCCCCAGGGGCAATGTCACCAACCTGTGCAGATCCCAATCCGATTTCACCTCAGCAATCTTATCCAAAATTCCTCCAAGCAAGAGCCTTGTCCTGATGGGTAGGTAATGTGCTTAATTGGGAATAATGTCCTCCGTGTCTTTGTCCAGGTAGATCCAATAGTATAAAAGATGTAATAATTTCTACTTCTTCTTCTGTCTTTTTCCAGTTGATTGATATATATGTCTTTTGTATATCTAGTTTTGGGTCAAAGGCTCACCATATTAATATACGTCTATATTTATGAAAAGTACTAATAAGCAATCTGACATGGTTTCTTCAGGTTTATTCTTAGAGTTAAGGATACATAATAAATCAAAGGATGTTGTAGGATAATGTACGTTCAACAGCAGATGGTAATTGCTGGACTCCTGAAGGGAGAGTTTGAGTCTACATAGACAGACAGCTGGACAAGAAAAACCTTGTCCAGTAAGCAGCAACAGCAAGACCAAGACCTTGTGGTCCTTTGTTCACTAATCTATATAGATATGGACATAATGACTTTGGAATATAATTCTAGCCAAATAAGGAATACACCACCAATATACATTCCAGACAAAGAAAGCCTTGTAACTTATTAATACCATCTGTTACTTATATCAATCCAGACATCCACACATAATCGATAGAAACATAGAATATGCAATATTCTACAAAAGACAAAAAGTAGGAGGGACCATTAGTGCAATATGTACAATCCAATATATTCGCTATATAGAAAAGATGGTAATAAACTCACATTTACAAAAGCTATAACCAGCTGCTTGTGGAATATATAATAGATGTTTTACGTCTGGGATGTGTCCAACACGCAAGAAAAGAAAAAGGATAAAAAGAGACAACTGATAGTGCGCACTATTATAAAATTGTCAGTAATAAAAGAATAAAATAATGCTCACAAGTGTAGAGCAGACTAACTGCTCTTTGATATCAGCATTGGTGGAATTATCCCCACCTAGGATATTTGGAGTACCAAGTAAAAATGCCAGGTAGAACTAAAATAATAAAAAGTGTATTTAAAAAGATGATTGGCACAAGTAACCAAAGTAAATTAAAATATCCAAATGTGTTTTGTCATAACAGACTTCCCCAAGTGGTTATTTACGGTATATTCGGCCCTTTTCTTTGACACTATTTTTAGTCTCCTGATATTATATTTGGCGCAGCCCTTATTCTTCTTTCTACCATCTACTTCTGTATTTTAAAAAGGGTCTGAGGAATTTCCCTTTTGTAGGGCTGCTGCCCCTTTGTTAATTAGCGCTGACCCCTCCTCTGTTGTATACTTCTTTTATCCTACCTGGACCAAGTATTTCATACTTCTGTGTCCTAAACATGATAAAAAATGGATACAACACCTGGTGGCATTGCAGTCTAATCCAGAAATACTGGACCAACATAAGCAAAATGATCACGACAGGACAGTGACAGGACTCCAGATTTCTCACACACCACAGACACTTATTTTTGATTTTCCCTTGCCCACTCCCAAAGACGCAACACACTCTACTAACCCATCTTCTTACAGCCGCCAATATACTCCTTCCCATAAAATGGAAAAACCCCAACATCAACTCCATAAGGGAATGGATCACAAAAATTGAAGATATTAAAATATTAGAAGTTCATGCCTCCATATCACAAAAGTACCCAGCATACCAAGCAACTTGTGAACCTTTGATAAGGTTTATGAACATACGCTAAACTAAGCCCTACGCATGCAGCAACATGACTACGTGCACCCTACATACCAGATTAGGGACTGACCTACACCATAAACTTCATCGTCACTCTCCCCCCACCAAACAACATACACTGGATAACAAACAGAACGCAAATATAGTCATTAAAGTTCCTCTGTTAGAAAGGTTCAAAGGATGGCATTTAAGGGGTTTTTCCTTGCACCAAAACTAAACAAGCAACGCTGACTAAATATGAACCTAAAAGACAAAACAAGAATTAAAAAAAAAAAAAATGTATCTTTCAAGATGAAATCAATATCTTCTATTGTCCTGGAAATAAGAATAAAAAAGATTGGATTACCTCTATAGATCTCAGCGATGCCTATTATCGGGTTTCAGTCCATCCACATAATTTAAAATTCATAAGATTCTTCATCTTCATGAGCCATTTTAAAGTCAAAGGTCTCTCTTTTGGTCTAAGCCTAACCTAGAACACTCTAAAAGGTTCTGGTCACCTTGATTGTCTTCTTAAGAGAACAAGGCATAAGAATGTATCACTATTTGGAAGACAGCCTCATAGTGGAAATCATCCTGCAACACAGTAATACAACATACAGAAATGGCCATAATCCTAGAGAAGAGCCATTTGACTCCATCTTACCAGATCGTACATCTAGCTGCTTGAATAGACACAATCAAGTCTTCAGACCAACTATCTTTGTACAGCTTAGCACGCATACAGATGAAGATTTGGTAAAGTAGAAAGAATTTATGAGTCTCCTGGGATCTCTCACCTCTATGACGGGCCTGGCTAGATGGGCTCACTGGAATAAGAGACCAATTCAAATGAACTTTTTCAGCCAGTTCAAAAGACACCAGACAATTGAGATCAGTTACTTAATGGAGATACCTCATCAGGTGAAGACTCGTCTAAGATGATGAATGTTCTAAGCAGAATATTTATAAAAGCTAATGGAGTTTACATCCAGAAGTTTGCAAGAGAATTATGGAGAGGTGGGGATTACCCCAGATGTGTTCCCTCCCCACCTAGAATACCTTGTCTGCTGAAGAAGATTATTGCCAGAATCCCTATGTGGCCAAGAAGACCGTGGTACCCCCTCCTATGTAAGATGACCATCACCAGTCTTTGGAGACTACCTCTCAGGCCAGATCTCCTAGTCCAAGGCCTGGCTGCGCATCTCAATCCATCCCACTGGGATCTCGGGGGCCTGGCTTTTAAACTGTCAGAATTATTAAACCAAGGCCTATCAGATAATCTAGTAAATACACTCCTAAAATCAAGAAAAGCCTCAACTTCATTGTGTTACTATAGAATATAGGAAACTTTCAAGACATGGGCACACCTTAAATCATGAGATTTCCATCATCCATCCCACATTAAGGTCCGAGAATTTATTCAGGCCGGTTTAGATAAAGGATTAGACCTGAGCACTCTCAAAGTTCAATCTTCATCTCTGCTAGCCCTGTGCTATATATTGGACTTTTCATTCCGTTATATCTAGACTATTTAAAGCGGTCGTGAGCATCAAACCTACTATGAATACCTCCCTCCATGGAATCTTCCTCTGCTCCTAAATTCATTGACAGATCCGCCATATGCTCCACTTTTTCACATCAAGACTCAATACCTTGTGTATAAAACTGCCTTCTTGATTTCGAGTACTACAACAAAAACATCTCTCAAAACAGCAGTCATTTTCATGCTTAGAGATCCACACGATTTTTCATGACAGAGTCGTCTTAAAGCCTTCTCAAGAATTACTCTCCAAGGTTGTATCCAATTTTCATTTGCTTCAAGAAATTGTCATACCTGCCTTCTTTCCTTTTTTTTCCCCTATTAGATTTAACCCCTACATTTGTCCATCTATCTACATTATCCTGTCTCAGATTAGCTGCATTTTTTCTTGTCGGGCAGATAAAAGGAGGTAACCTAAGCGTCTAGCTGACATTATTTTGACCTTGTGATGGAAAAAAATTCTTGCAATAGCATGTTTTGTAGCCTCAGGATGACCAATTTGGCTATTTGGGAGTCTATGCATCCTATCAATTACAATCTCTGATACCAGAATATCCTGGAGAATACAGGAAAGATGTCAAATAAATCTTCTGGGTTAGCTGCAGAGACAGAGTCTGGTATTCCTCTTATCTTAATAGTGTTCTGACAAGAGCGATCTTCAATGTCTGTCAGCTTAGAGAGCCCCCAGTTCTTCAACCATTTTGCTGTGATTAGCATTTATGTGAGTCAATATCATCCATCTTACATTCAAGTTTGTCCGTTCGATTGCCCAAGTCATTTATGGATTTGTTAAGCTCAGCGGTAAGTTGGATTAGTTCTGTATGCAAATCTTGTCTTAGTTCTTGCCTTTATAGTCTAATTTTGTAGTAAAAACGTCAGATTCCAGTAGAGCTGTAGCCGAAAGAAAAAGCCCTTTTTGTTGACCTTCACCATGTTGAGACAGATAGGTTGGTGAACTAGCCCCGCTTCTAGACTCATTGCCTTGACTTTCTTATATCTATAATATAAGGAGAGGTTTTCTTAAACATAATGTTTCCTCACACTTTTTTAATGTCCATGGTGGAGACCCTACTGGGCTTACATTTCATGGAATCCAGACCATAAAACCACATTGGAGAGGTGGCCAGATCGAGTCCAAATTGAGCCGCTGTGAGATGAGGTGGATCTTTGATCTAGAAACCTTGTCTCCGGGCGGACTCAACGTGGACTTCGAGATGGCAGCCCTCATAACTTTACAGTATATACTGTAAATTATTTTTACTTTTAGAATTTTTCAAAATCTTTTTAAATTTAATGTTCCTGTGTTGGTCTTTATATATGTATTAAGGCAGTTTGGCCTGTATTTGTGGGAGGGGCTTAAATTAATTCACTCCCCTATATAAGGGACACCCCTTACCTGACTCATATCGCTTGAGGTCAGCATCAGAATGATTTCCACTTCCGGGTCATCCAGACGCCATTTTACCTGATTACTCCATGAGGTTTTCTAAGCAGAGCTGTGTCAGGAATCCAGCCACAGGCTTTTCCGGCCTACCACCTTCTTTCTTCAATCCATCGCCGTGGATGGTGTCCAAGTGACTCACAAACCGTAAGTTGACCTACCCGTTACGCCAGGCATCAGTCCCACGGCACCATGCATGGGTCAGGTCCTCACTTTACGGCTGCATTTTGTCTAGGTCTGTTCTAAAACCATTGCATGTTCATGCAAATCATTTGTTTAAACCCCCTACCGGTCTTTGGGTGTACTACAGGCTTCTTAGACATTATTGCATTTCATGTACAAACCAACGAACCACTGCATTTTCGCCTACACACTGACCCCTACCGGTCTTTGGGTGTACTACAGGCTTCTTAGACATTATTGCATTCCATGTACAAACCAACGAACCACTGCATTTTCGCCTACACACTGACCCCTATCGGTCATTCGGTGTACTACAGGCATCTTAGACGTTTTTTGCATTATCATGTACAAACCAATAAACCACCTCATTTTAACCTACACACTGACCCCTACCGGTTTTTGGTGTACTACAGGCTTCTTAGACATTATCGCATTTCATGTACAAATAAACGAATCACTGCATTTGCGCCTACACACTGACCCCTACTGGTCATTTAGTGTACTACAGGCTTCTTAGATATTATCGCATTTCATGTACAAATCAACAAACCACTGCATTTGCGCCTACACACTGACCCCTACCGGTCATTCGGTGTACTACGGGCTTCTCAGACATTATTGCATTTCATGTATAAACCAACAAACCACTGCATTTTTCACCTACACACTGACCCCTATCAGTCATTCGGTGTACTACAGGCTTCTTAGACGTTTTTGCTTTTCATGTACAAACCAACGAACCACTGCATTTGCGCCTACACACTGACCCCTACCGGTCATTCAGTGTACTACAGGCTTCTCAGACATTATTGCATTTCATGTACAAACCAACTAACCACGGCATTTTCGCCTACATGCTAACCCCTACCGGTCAATCAGTATACTACAGGCTTCTCAGATTTTATTCCACTTCATAAGCAAACAAACTAACTACAGCATTTTCGCTTTCATACTGACTCCTATCTGTCAAATGGTAGCATTAACCCCTTAAGGACACATGACATGTGTGACATGTAATGATCCCCTTTTATTCCTCAAGTTTGGTCCTTAAGGGGTTAAATGGTTTTTTAACATACAATCAGCATTTCTGACCCCTACTGGTCAACAGCAAAACTGTCTTCACATGTCATATACAATTTACCAGCCAATATAAATTACACATAAGATTGTTTTAAACATAACTATAGACCATAAATTAAACTCCAGCACGGGCTCAACTTCAGGTTTAATTCACAATAATTTACATTTCACATCAAGACCAACAGTGGTTCTATCAACACTGCCACCTACAGGTCTGTCAAGTACATTGACAATTTTCATGGGGTTTTACAAACACCAAAACACTGACACCTATAGGTCAACAGACAAACAACATTTCACATACCAATCAGTATCCAACTACACTGCCACCTATAGGGCACTCGGCAGATCTCCAGTGCACTTGCATTTTGCAACACCATGTTCACTGACCCCTACCATTCAATAAGACATACAACAATTCACATAGCAAGCACTATATCAACATCTGGTATAAATACATATATTATTACACAGTAGCAGACGCATCTGTATATATGTAACTGGTAATATAGTTCACATACATTTTTCACAGCACGCTGCTCCCGCAACAGACTTCCCCTAGCAAGGGGACATACAACATACAAGGTGGGGACAGACCACATTTTCACTTGTACATACGGCACTTAATGGGTTAAGATTGATACATATTTAACCAGTATGGCTACGATGTTTAATATTTACACATCACGTCACTTTACTTTTCACATATACTGTACGTATTAAGATAAGCTTGGTCTATGCCATATTTCCTTATGCCATACGGTTTTATCCATTCAGGTTACAGTTACTACTAAAAAACCTATACGGATTGTCAGGTTCAATACCATACTACCAGGTACATACACCTGCTCACGTAGTTATCCATCTCTTACCTTACCTGGAATAGTAATAGTGTACTGGCAATTAGGGTTCTAGGGCCCAATAGGTATTACCCCCTTTTTTCTCTGCATTATGCTTCGGTTAGTGGTCCCGCGAGGCCAACACCCCGCCTCACACTCGGAGGCATACACCCCTCGGGCCACTCGTGAGCTAGCCGCCTCGCATTGTATCATAGAGAGGACCTCACCTGTCACTCCCCTTCCTATTTTCTGGTTACTGTCACCGAGAGGCCAACATCCTGCCACAACGTTCGGTGGCCACACAAAATCCCCTCGCGCCAAGCATAGATAGAGCCTCTCAAGCCACTTGGCAACTAGCAGGGCCTCACCAGTCACCAAAAAACACCAAGCCTAATCGTTTCGCCTTACGGCTTAGCTAGCAAGCCAGTACAAGAACCCTGGGTACAAATAATAATTGCAATCTTTATTGTTATTTAAGTATTTCTCAAAAAGATGGTGAAGAATCACCTCTTCCTAGCACCCCGGCTAGAATTGATACACCTTCAAGCAGAGGAGATGTTGCTAGTCCAGCAGCAATCAGATCCTGGACGATCCCACACATTACCACCGACCTAAGGAGGTGACAAATCCCCTACCCTGCTACAGCAAGGAAAGCAGTTATTCAAACTCCTCCATACATCAACGGACAACACGGAGGCAGGGGAAGGCCCAGCTACATCAACTCAGGTGACACCCAGGCTATGCTAGCTTCACTCATAAACTCATGAGCCAAAACATTTATGACAGACTGGCAATCTCGAGTTGGTCACCACAGCCCTCACAAGGCTGGGCCTCACGCTACTGTACAACCAGCACCAACCGAAACTCGGTTACCTGGTACAATTCTTATGACACACAAGATGTTAAACCTGCACGTATGATCCCAGCACATTGGGGAAGCAAGGCATATATATGTATGATAATGTATCTGTGATGGTCAGATCCAGGGATTCCAGGTAAATCGGGAACTGACCATCCCTTGGTTGGGTTGGCATTTGGAATATGTGGAGATGTTTATTTGTGCAGGTACCCATACAGAAGGGATTTTGTCCCAAACAAATGGACGAGCACTCTCAGGCTCCAGGTACCAGCACCTCTGAACTACCAGAGACCACTGATATGAGTAGTTGCATTGCATACAGACTGTTGCATATATGTTCAAATAGTTCAGGGCACATGACAAACCATGTGTCCCAATACAACTTACAAATAACGTATTCACCATCTGTACACACCAATGCATTTTCAACACTACTGACTCATCACCCTTCCAGACTTGTAGTAGATTTACTAAAGCTCTGGAGCTTCAAAGGGCTCCCATACAGGTATCATAAACACACCTTCAAGGAATATAGCATGCCCTCACTTACAATCAGCACAACAAAACCATTGGCTGTAAAAACACTCATAGCCAAGATTTGCAGAGGGGTCTTCCAATCTCCACCATTTACAGCATACACACACATTGGTATTGTCACAAGGAATCTTCCCTTAAACAAAGACTAACCATAGACTTATTGGCACCACACACCTCCGCTACCCCAAGTCTCAACTCCCTCATACCCTCCGAGCAATCCTTTCCCCGCTCAACTTTCGAGCTACAGATTAGCCTACTATCGATATTCGCAGATACTCTGTGCTGGTTATGATAACATATCCAGAGGCCTTACAGTCATACACTATCTAGAAGACTTCTTGTTAATCAAAGACAGCATATTTTTCACTAGAAGCCTCACGGCAGCTTAGTCTGGTTGACCACTTGGGCGTCCCAGTACCCCATAAGAAACAGAAGGCCCAGACACTATCTTCACATTACTGGGCATATGACTTGAGTCGGCATCCATACACGCAAGTTACCACAAGACAAATAGGGAACATTCTCAACTACATCAATCACTACCTCCTGCTTAGTACTTACAACTGCAAGGAACTACGATCCCTACCAGGTTCCTTAATTTTGCCATGCCAATCATACCACAAGACCATGCTTTCACATCCAGAGTACTTTCCCCTTTTTTCCCACACTTCCAACATGACGATCAGAGGATGTCCCTAGACACCTCAGCAACAGCAGACTTGCACATGGGGGGGGGAATTTTTTAACCACTTGGCATGGTAAAAGCATGTTCCTTCCAGGATTGTCTGACACTTCTCCAACCAGATGGTCAGACGCAGCGTCTACCACGGGTTTGGCAGCGATCTACCGGGAACAATTGCTTTGGAGCTGTTGGCGATGGCATCCAGGTTTGGAAATTATTCCACCACCTCAGCCCCTTTGGGAGATCTACCCCATTGTAGCAGCTGCTGAGGCATGGGGTAAATCATGGTCAGGGTCATCAATCCGTTGTTACTCAGGCAACTAAGCATATGTCATATCATCAACAAACACCACTACTCATCCATAAGGTCATGATATTTCTGGGGAACTCACTTGGTTGGCCACTTATCACATTTCACTTTCATGTACCAGACAGGGGTATACATCCCTGCCGACAACGGTCTCATTTATATTCCAGGCATGTTCATCATATGCTTCCTACAGCCGCCCATACAGTCACGGCCACTCTTTCGTTCCAGAGACAAAATCATGGATTAGACATACTCATGCAGCATAGCATGCACTATCCCACCTAGCACTTTCGTCCCATACTTGTAGAACACGTAACACAGCTTTTCACCTGGCTTAAAGAATCTCATTGGCACACGACATAGCTCAACCTATGTCATAACATTTCTCCTAGGTTTTGCTTCATTTTTGCCACCTTAAACTAAAACCATCTCACACACCATTAATTATATATTTTACAGGCATTCAACAACACAGGATAACCTATGGCCAAAACTACCATAACTTCATGCTATCATACCAGACAAGAATATACTCAGAGGTTTTCAGGAATCCATTCCCCCACGTTCCTCTCAGAGATTACCAATAGCCATCCAACTTTTCATCATTATCGGACCTATTAGATCTACAACCATTCAATTATACTACCAAGTCGGCCATTACCAGCTATGCACATTGCCTTTTATGCCTTTCTCAGGCCAGAGAAGCCACTACCATCACCACCACTCAGACAGATCATTGTCTTCAACGATCCCACGTACGTAAACACATATATCATTACCTATTGGCTCTATCACATTCCGAAACGAGTCAACACGCACCAACAGTAGAGATAACATACTATCCTACCCACAACAAATGGTGTCCACTTTCGGTCCTAGATTCCTACCTTCAAAATACTTTCAGGAATTAAATACTGTAATGCTTTTAAGTAAATGTCTGGTTAATTTGTATATATTTGTTGACTGTATTAAATCTTTGATTATTCATTTTTGCCCTCTTTATTTACAGGCCTACCGTATTGTCGGTATCGGCACACCACAACCGACTTGCTCCCTTTATACTATCCTACGCTTACGCTGGATCCTTACTCCATATACGGCTATTTGCCCCTTACACAAGTATTAAGGCCGTTTGGCCTGTATTTGTGGGAGGGGCTTAAATTAATTCACTCCCCTATATAAGGGACACCCCTTACCTGACTCATATCGCTTGAGGTCAGCATCAGA